AGGGTCACAAGACACCCTTGGGAAACGACATAGTTATTTACTAAACTTACTTGTTGGAGACGCAGTTTAACATTTTATGCCAAAAAGGCCACACTACGAACATTTCACCAAATTAACTATTTTTAAATCTGTGCTGCTTTGGCGTAAACGGTTGAATTCTCTAGAAATCCCTGGTTTCATAAATAACCCTGATTGGATTTATTCTGCCAGAACAGTCCAAACAGGCTTCAATGCAAAATGGAAATCACATGACATTGGGCCGAGCACCCGTCAGGTGCACCTATTGCAGAAAGGAATTAAGACAACAAACCAAGCTCCATGCTGTGAGAGGATCAGCTAAACTCACACTTGGTGTTAGCATGGTGTTGCATTAGCTTAAGATCAGCTAAATCCCTATTGAAACTGCTGGAAAACCCATTTAAAACTGATATACATGATCGATTGAACTCTGTCTATGTAAAGTTCCAGGCTGCCTGCCAATCATCTACAGCTAGTCCACTGAGGGCAGACCTTGCCTGGAGCACTGTTTTAGATCTCTCTGCAGGGTTCTAGTACCCTGAACGTAGTGCAAGGTCGTCTAAGGATGCACACGCACTATGCGCAGCGGGACTGGTCAGGACAGGTCCTAAAAATTGGGACTGTCCTACCGAAATTGGGACAGTTGGGAGGCCTGCTTTAGCCCTGCCCTCCCTGGACACGTTTTGAGTAGAAAACCGAAGACAAAGGAGGATGTAATAAGTGCAGGATAAATTGTTTCTCCCTTAAAAAAAAAATGCAATTTCAAATGTTATAACTGCAATGTAGCAGAATCTGGAAACACAGACTGCTTAATTCACGTCACCGTTCAAGTGTGGCATGATTATCTTTTAATAACATCCCTCTCAAATGTCCCACTTTAGGGACCAAAGCCCTCTGTCCGTATTCTATAGAACTTTGTAATAGTTGATTGAATAAATGTTAAGCATTGACCATTTAAATATCTTTCCTATCAACTAGATCTATTCAGAATGGATTGGCCCCCCATTACGTCCCCCATTCAATGTACATTGTTTATATGTTATGTAAATAAGGTACATGCCAATTAGTGATGTCCCGAACGGTTCGCCACGAACGGTTTGCAGAACGGTTTGCCGCGGACTCATCATTCCAGCCAATCAGCAGCAGACCCTCCCTCCCAGACCCTTCCACCTCCTGGACAGCATCCATTTTGAAGCTGCATTCTTAGTGAACTGTCCAGGAGTTGGGAGAGTCTACTGCTGATTGGCTGGAATGATGAGTCCGCAGCAAAACGTTCACGAACCGTTCGGGACATAATTACATGCCATATATTGTATGCTAATAGTTTGATATAGCAGATTTTAGGCGTAGAACAATTTGGGCTTTATAGCATGATTTCCCCGCAGAACCAGTAGCAGAGGAGCCTGTTGTATATAGCTTTTGATAGATAAAAAAATTAAAACAAACATTGGCAGATCTGACACCGGTCTACCCATTTAAAAAGTACAGCCTTGATTTTTCATGAATTCATATAAACCTGCTTAACTTGTATTGGATTGTTGTTCAATCTATGCACTCACTTATATGAAAAAAAAAAATATTTCCTAATTTTTATATTCATACTATTTTATAATTTCAGGGAAAACCACATCACAGAACCCCTCTTCCTGCAGGAAGTACAAAACTCTTGTACTTTACTACAAATTAAATACATTAATCTACTACGTAACTTGCAGATGCAGAATCTATATCTAAAAAAAAACATAATATGGTCATGCAACATTGGCTCTCTTAGCTGTGACAATGGCATTCCCCATAATTTACAATTTAAATTATTTTTATATAGCCAACATATTCCGCAGCGCTGTACAATAGGAAGCGAGACAAACTTGATGAAACAAGCATGACATACGGCAACAGTGGGTTAAGAGATCCCTGTCCAAAGGAGCTTACAATCTAAAGGCCCTAAAAATGGCCATCAATCATTTATGTATTCGAAACGAGAGCTGGGAGGCCTAGGTTGGACAACCTTGATGTAGAATTTACCATGCCACTTGAGAGTAATATCTCTATTTTGGTGGGGGAGAAGCACAATTTCCATTTTTCTCAACGGGCGCCAGTCGGTCTTTGATTGCTATTCTCCATTCCCCCCATCTCAAAAGTGGACATAGTTTTTAAGAATAAACCATAAATCCTCGTTCAGAAATGCAGATGTTTGATCCATTAAGTTCTCTAACGGTGACAGTTACACATGACCCTAATGTCAGTGCAAAGTCCACAAATTCACCATCTCCGCTCTACGCGGACTTCCTGCAGGATCTATGCTGTCTGCACACTACTTTAGAATTCCAGTGTGATTCTTTATAATTCAGCGTGAGCGCAGAGGATGTAGCGTCTGATCATGTTTAGCTTATTTATGATGTTAACTGCTCTGCATTGACCCAGGCAAACATGACAAGATGTTACCCATGTGTTCAACACATGTTGCTTCTCAAAACCTGCAGTGGAGGTGCACAGAGCCTGGACTGTATTTAATCCCCCCGAGGAATGGGATGTAAACCTAACAGAAATTGGTTCATCTAAATTACAGGATTATTCACAGTACATATTATTGCACTGTGATCCTGCAATATTTGCACAAGCTGAGTGAGTAATCTTGTCTGGAGCCTCTGGGACGTATTTCTTTTATGCCCCAACTATTTATACAAACAAAAATAAATTAAAATAATAATAATTTGCGGTGAGTCAGTATACGCTCACTTCACATAGCGCTGCCGGACTGTTTAATATAGAAAATGTATTCCTCTTCTGCAACTGTCATTAGTCTAATACTATCCTTACCTTTTTGTGTCATTTTACCCCACTCCCTCTAGCATGTAAGCTCAATGAGTAGGGCCCTCAACCCATCTGTTCCTGTGTGTCCAACTTGTCTGGTTACAACTACATGTCTGTTCGTCCATCCATTGTAAAGCGCTGCGGAATTTGACGGCGCTCTATAAATATCATAATAATAAAAATAGGGTAACATCACGCTGTTACTATAGCAATTAATATTTTAGTCTAGGGTAGCAAAAGCAGACTTTGTAACCCCAGTTGTTTTCAAACTACACATCCCATGACGCTCAGCAAGTTTTAATTATTATTATTTATAAAGCGCCAACAAATTCAGCAGCGCTGTACAAAGGATGCTGAGCATCTTGGGAAATGTAGTACAGATATTTCTCAGATGTCTAGGTTAGCCAAAAGTTTTCTACTTTTACAGAATTCTATGCCATTTGTGTTTACATAGTTAAATAATACCCGGTGTATGCAATCTTTTGGAAAGGGACAGTAAATGACACGGACATATTTATGGTCACACAATGTGGCAAACAGAAATTAAATTTCCCCTTGGGAATTGTAACCACAAACCAAAATGCTCTGTAAAGTTAATGGGTGCCTGGTCAGCTGTAATTCATTTTCAGACTTCGTACATATGATTTTATAAGCAGCACTGAAATTTGAAATAACATTGCAATTATAAATTTCAGGCTCATTCTTGGAGGTTTGTTTAAAGGTCACATTTGGTTATAGCAAGCATCTCCAACTTTGGCTGCTAAAATACAATGACTTTAAGGTGTGTTTTTGGGTATGTACATGTGGCTTTGATGTGAACTGATGGGGTTTATTCCCTAAACTCAGAATTGTATCCAATCGAAAGCAAGATGTCAACATTTTGGCAAAACCAGGTGCTCTGGAAACAATTCTATATCTACTATGGTAAAAGCTTGTCAGTTTTTGCCTAAATGCAGGAATTTAGATTTTAATTGTAGACAATTCAGAATCTAGTGAATTAACCCTTGTCTGATTAATATTATTTAGATAGGAGTATGAAATTACAATTACAGTAAGATGCCTTATTTTCTGTGTATCTGTATACATGTCTAATGCGCGCGTGTGTGTATATATGTATAAGACGAGAAACCAGAGGATACAACCAGATTGAGCATCAGCCCCAAATCAGGACTGTCCCATCAGATACATGTCTGTTGGGTGGTATGCTAACTTCCTCCCCATCGCATTTCTGCTCCTGTATCACGTATTTAAGCTTTGAATGACAATCCACATGCCCAGTAATTCACCGTTAGAGTGAATGAGACCCGTTGGTGTACACTCAATACAATTTTTGCAACATCCCCCTTCTCTCCTTAGCTCTCCTCAGCTAAACTCTGCAGTCAATTGATTGCTCTCAGCCAATGAGCTAAACCCTGCACTGCAAGGCTTAATTCAGAGAGAGCGCTTCTAGCTCGTTGGAAGTATTAAATCCAGAGTGGTGGACCACGGTTAAGAAGTCAAACTGTTCTAAAAGGTATGATTACTAACAAAGGGGGCCACTCCTGGCACCATAATACAGTGTGCAGTAGTGGTTATGGTGCTTGTAGAATTCCTTTAAATACTCACAAACCCTTCCTTCCCACTAGATCAAAGCTAGGCAAACTTTGGCACTCCAGCTGTTATGGACTACATCCCCCAGAATGCTCCAACAGCCATAATGCCTCGGGGGAGATGTAGTCCATGACTGACATCTGGAGACCCGAAGGTTGCCTACACCTGCAATAGATCATGTTTTACACTGACTTAAGCTTGGCCTTGAATTTTTTTAATGCACTGTGCCTTCCTCACCACCTCCATTTCTGGTCTGCCCTTCCATGGATCTACTACTATTCTAGTCAATAACATTATATTCAGCACTTTTGAAAGGGGTTATACAAGACAAACTCTGGGTACCCCATTCTACAACCAGACATGGGTGCATGAAGGTGCTTTCTACACACTCACCCCCTGATCCCCCCAGGTGGGAATGATTAAAAGGGAAGCGGTGTTCTGAGGTTGACACCCCCTAATGTGTGCTCTGTACCCTGAAGGTCCAGCTGAAACCTGGAGGGACCTTCTCTCCCTGCAGAGCTGCGCTCTCCTAGCGGTGACCATTGGAAATGTTAAGGGGCGTTGAGAGGGAGCGCCCCATGTGCGTCCAGCAGCCAATAACGGGAGAGATTCGGAGAGCAGCGCTCAGCTGGCAGGCATTTAAATGGGAGACAGCCCGGCGCTGCTGCAATGTGTCCTTTGGATGTGATACTGCTGGCTCTTCCCATCCTTGTATGCATGGACTGCATCTCCAGCACCGCACTCCTGTGAGCCAGGGGAGCCTGGGACCAGGCACTATACACAGGTGAGGGCAATTATCACTTCTCCTGGGGGTCCTCACAGTCTGCATGCAATGGGGGGCACTGATTAGCAGGATGGAATCAATGGATCATTCTATCAGGTTATTACTGCTACATTGTATGATGTGTGTAAGAAAGGCAGGCTGGGGGAATACTGTCTGTGTAAATGTAGAGCTATTGATACATGGGTATATTTTAGCTATTTATCTGTGGTTTTTAACCTTCTGATTAATTCAAATTGCTCTTATCACTTTATAAAACACACAGTGCAGTATAGATGTAGGTATATTTCCCACTGTCTCTCTACATCTATCTATAATGTATATATTGGGCAACCCAGCACATCCCAATATTTGTGAACACATTGCAATAATTTAACAAATTTATTTAGAGCATCATTTTGTACTGTGACTGACTGAGTTTAGAAATGTGTACAATAAAGTCAGTTACAGAGGATTTATCTATCAATGATGTACATTTCCATGGCACCTAATGATTGCATGAATATAGTGAGCTGATACTGAAATGTTTTTTTTTTTTTTTTCTCATTCATGGGGTAAAGAGCAAATGAATATTTAAAATGCGTTTATGTGTGTGTGTGTGTGTGTGTATTTGCATATGTCTTCCATCAAAGTTGCAACATCTCACTATTGTTTCCAACTGATATGTAAATACCTGAAATTTAACTACCACTTTGTTGAGTGTCAGTGTACCCATATAATCGTTTGTGATGAATTTTATTGATCCAACTGTATATCTACTTTTGGGCGTGTGTGTGTGTGTGTGTGTGTGTGTGTGTGTATATATGTATGTATATGTATATGTGTATGTGTATGTATGTATATGTATATGTATATGTGTATATATATATATATATATATATATATATATGTATATATAATGTGTATGTATATATATATGTATGTATGTGGATTATTGACCAACTGGGGAAAAAATGAGGAAGTTAAAGGAAAAATATCTTTAGCAGTTGGAGAGTCTGTGCCAAATTTATTTTGGCCTACATTTTGGAAGTCAGCTGTCAATTCAGCGAATAATGACCCCTAAAAATTATCGAAATGTAATATTCTATACCTAGTTAAATGTTTCCTAGAAGCTTAATTAGACTAAGCAACCCTGTACTAGCAGGATAAATAATGCAAAACATATGTAATTATTTTAGCTGATACTATGGATTATATATCACAACTAAATTCTGTTTTAACACTATATATAATTTGAATAGGGGTAGATATTTTGTGTGTATGTATGTATGTGTGTGTATATATATATGTATGTATATATATATTCGTGTGTATGTAGTTCTAATTCACAAATAACTTTTATAGGGACGGACATCCCTGAAGAGTTTCGCTTGCTTGAAATGTAAAGGACTGCGTAGCTTTAAATTTATGAGGGAGAATTGTTTGCCCAATCTGGATTATTAGAAAACCGTTAAAGACCAGAATCTGTATCTGTATCTCTTGAGTATGTTAGTTTTTAATTAATGGGGAATCTAAAACCTGTTTAAATGGATATTCCAATATATGCATTTGACATTATTTTTTTTTTCACACATTGTAGCGCATTCAATAATATGAGCGTTTTGGAGAATTGCAAATTTGTCATGAGAAGGACAAATATTCCAGCTTGTTAGTTTTGGGTTAATACTGTCACTTACCTGATGAATCCGACAGAACTAGCAGTTCAGTAAAAAAAAGTTCTATTCATTTACTGTAGTATATTTAATTTTAAATGCATTTACACGTAACACTGTTGACGTAACACGTTAAACATGTGCGTATATATGTAAAATATTACGCCCGTTCCTTTTAGCTGTGTATGTATAATGTATCTCAGTATCAGCAGCAGAATTTTAAATCAATACCTGCAAAGTTGATACAGTGTGACTTATAAGAAAATTATTCAAATTTTTTTTTTTTTTTAAGTTTAGTGTTTACAAAAAAAAACTAAACATAATCACATAATCAGTAAAATAGTGCTTGTGTATAACAGTGTTTGTTTTCTTTTTGTTTGTTTTTTGTCCTAGCACTTTTTGAGAATTTATCATTTTTTGCAAGGGGGGAAAAAATGAATCGTACCTCTCTATTGTAAATAAATATTAAAAAAAAATTTTTGTTTATCATATGCAAAGTCATGTTGTATGTGTTATGCTTTACCCCTGCCAACTGGCCTAGATTTAAAGGAAAAATCTAGTTTTATCTCGAATTCCACTATCTATTGTCCAAAATCTTACACTTCGATCGTAACTGCATCAAATGAGCTGGCAGTCAAAAAGAGTGAAGGGCCCCACATTGTCCTTCAATATTTATGGCTGCCAACTGATTTCATTTAGTTCGAATATGAAGCTCAGATCTGGCGTAGAATTTCGAAGAGTGAAACGATCTTGAAAACATTCCAATGGTTTCCACGTAGAAATGTTTATAGTTTTCCACCAGAATTCTACGTTTATTTATCATTCTGAAATGAAATGCACGTGAGAGGGAGGTTATTTCTAAATGCCTTATTCCTTTGGTTTTGTTTATTTTCTTAGCCGTATTTGCCAGCTTTGACTCCGAATCAACAATAAAAACCAGTTGAAATGAGAGTTGTGTATATTTATTCATTTTTAGTGTCGAAATAATAGTTTTCATTTTTTGTGGACTCCCAAGTATTAGTATAGATAATGTTTTAAACAAAAAATTGCACCTGCTGTCCAATTGTTGACGAATGATAATGTGATGTAGGACTGAGACATGCAACTAGTTAAAGGCATAGGTGTGCGCAAGGGGCGTGTCATGTGCGCAGGACAGAATTGCCCCCCCTGTGTACAAATTAAATCCATGTCTGCAATTTCATTTCAGTTCGGGTTAGCTCATTATCCAAAGGAAGTTAGAATTGTGATAATTGTTTGTTTATGAATGTCTTGTTAATGCGAGAAAAAAAATATTTGGTATTTTCGGATTCATTTATTAATCTATATTGTTGGTTTATTTTTGTCAATTTTTCACAAAAAAAGTTATACTCTTTTTGTTTTAGTTTAAATACAAATTTGCCATTGATTTCACATTCAATAAATATTTGCCTTTTTTATAAATGTCCTTGTGCTGTGCCTATTTTTGGTTCTAGGCCAGTGGGACGCCTTTATAGTGACATACAGGCAGCCTAGGTCGTCCTTCCTACCTTTGCCAATTCCTCCAGCCGTCAGTGCTGTGGCTTTGCCAATTTTATGACGCAATGCGCATGTGCTAATGATGTTATTTTACATCCATTTAAATGGCCCCTCACATTTTGGGGGTCGTGGCCACACTATAAATAGGCTGTTTGTGCTTGGTTCCCTGTCCTGCTGTGGTTTTGTTTTGGTCCCAATATTATGTTTATATTTCTATACGGTCTCTCTGGTTTTGGCTTTGGCTTATCCTGACTATTTTCTGCTCTGTAATCCTTGACTCTGCTTTTTTTTCCTCATTCTCCCGATTTCTGGTTCCCATTCACTTGGCCTGCCTTTGTCCATTCTCTATATAGTTTACATAAAGCTTGGCCACTCTAAGGACCGGTATACGTTCTATTACATTTTAGGGTTACTCTTTGCGTGTTGGGTCTCATAATCATGACATAGTTAGAGTAACTATATGCTGTAATGATCACATTCTGTATATGATTTTATAAGGCTAAATATATATCTGTTCTGTTAGTAAAACCATTTTCGAATAAAAAAATAAATAAAAAAATTTGGGGAACGGGTCCGTTCTAGCGGGAGATCTCAATGTCCGTTGTACCATCTTGTTAGTGTTTGTCAACGTTTTGTTATTCCTCTACATTGCTAGAGTTGCTATTGAAATATCTGACTTAGAATTTGCAGAGGTAGATCGAATAATGATAAGGAGGAATCTTGGTGTTTGTGATGAAAAGGTCAGTCCAGTGTCCCAATGAGACTAGGCAGGTTACAGTAAATAGACGTTGTCTTGGAGCACCAGGCTCACACAGTCTGGAACTGTATCTATCCTATTCTAGACTGTTCTGAAGGCACTTGTGTCTCAATTGGTTATTTTCACATTGCGAAGGTACCATTTTTAAATCCCTTTTTGAATAGAGATTATTTTATATAAATTGTTAGAATCATTTGAACACTATGGTTGGTGAGTAGATACGCAAAGTTTCTAATTGTGGAAGTGTCAGAATTATAAATTGCAATGAAACTCAAGTAAAAATCTAGAAAGAACATACTTTAACAGAGTACTATTTTAATTCTTTCAGAAGCAAGACATATTGGCAAGGAAACTAGGTAAACCAGTTGGAGGTCTGTCTTGTAACTTGGGGGCTCAACACAGGTTTCCCACCCAGAAATATAGCCATTGTCTATTATATGCGAAGTATTGTTTGAAGTCAAACACAATTGAAATTAAAATGCACTAGCAGAGATATATAGTAGATAATTTAAATATTTAACTAGGACAAATCCAATGGTACTGGAATATTAGTCGTCTGCCAAGTGTCTAGGTGATGATTAATGCAAATTTTGTCTGGGACTTACTATGTGCAAATATATATGAAACTATTTAACATTAAATAAAGCAGAGTCTCTGTAATGCCTGCCTGAGTGCATTTGTTTCTGTATTCTAGACTGCTTTATAAAGACAAATTCTATAGAAACTGGCAGTTAATGGTTTCCTAATTTATTTTTTAAAGGGACACTATAGTCAAAACAACTACAGCTTAATGTGGTGTCTCTAGCCTGTCCGTGCAGGCATTTTAATGTAAATGAAGTGTTTACATTGCTGCCTAGTAACACTCATTCAGACGGCCAGCACAGATCAATGCTGCAGTGTGGCATTCAGCGTCTCGACGATCCCCATAGAGGTGCATTATTCAATGCATCGCTTTGAGGAGATGCAGATTGGGGAGGCACAGAATTTTGCCACGCATGCTTTCTGATGGGAAATCATTGGATTGGCTGAGGTTGTCAAATATGAGGATCTCAGTCATGGAGTGAGACTGGTGTGGTGCTGTAAAAAGGTGAGTAGAGGGGGCTGGACACCCAAACTGTTTTACCACTATAGTGTCGAGAATACGTTTGTATTCCTTTTTAGGTGGGGGAGAGTAACAAATCATGGGGCCTGCTTGTAACTTGCAAGCTACACCCGTAGCCGAGGCTGGCCCACAGCACACCGCCACGTACATTCTTGTGTTACAGAAAGGGTTGTAATGTGAGGGTTAGAGGGGGGGACTGGGAATGTAGTCTAGGAATAGGGGCTGCAGTGGGAATATATGGGTTGTAATTGGGGGATAGACTATAGACTAGTGTGAGGGTTGGGTGGTTAGGTGCTGTATTTGGGGGAGACAGACTGTAGTGCGGGGGTTGGGTGGTTATAGGCTGCTGTAATAGGGGCAGTACCTGTAGGTGCTGTAATGTGTTGGGGTATAAGGGCTCTTATCTGGAAGAACAGGGGCTGTTATTGGAGAGGTATGAGCTGCTGGGGGCTGAAGGCTGTAATGAGGGCATTGGGGCTGTAGTGGTGGGATAGAGGCTGATGAAAAAATAAAAAGCAAGTTATTCCCTTCCCTCCCTGTGGCTTACCTTGGGAAAGGAGGGCAGGATTATTGTGGTCTTTGGTGGTTCTGTGGGAGAAATACTTTCTAGCTTGGGGTCCGGTTTATCTGCTTTTGTGAGCTCTGGTGTTCAGTGTGACGGCAGCACTCTAAACACTGGAGCTCACAGGAGCCATTCAAATTTGGGCCCAGCTCCAGCCGGGACAGAGCAATCTTCAAATGTAAAGATGGCCGCTGAGCATGTGGGGCGCTCACCATTCGAAATGGAGTACCAACCTAAGGTTCAGAATTGGCCTAACTGCAGTGAAAGTTAATAACTAAATAAGGTGATGTTTTAGTCTCTACCAATATCCCTAACTTGACTCCTAAGGGTTAGATTGAATTGGCAGATAAATGTTAAAATTTGAGTTGCTATTTATTAACCAGATTCAAAGGATTACTTCAAGAACCATCACCATTTCTAGGCCGCTAATGTCCGTTCTGTGCTTAAAAGGTGTGCGTTGGCGACGGACGACTAGTGACTGCATGGCCTCACTCCGTGCCACCCCTTTCATCTCACAGTCTGTCCGTCATGTCGCACTACCTTCCGCGACTAGCGGTGACATGACTGAAGGTGGATGGGTCTGTAGGGAGATTTATTTATAAAATATTTTACCAGGAAAAGATACACGCGCAGGCTTTGCCTAGAGACAAGGCCGGTGCCACCGTTGGGCAAACTAGGCATTGGCACAGGGCGCTAGCCTGCTGGGGATATTTCCTGGTGGGCTCCCCCTGTCTGGTGCCGCAGCACTGGGCGAGAGGCTCTAGAGCCGCCCCCCTCAGCGCTGGGCCGCTCCTCCAGGTGCCTAAAGGTGGGGGCGCCCAGAGGAGCCCTGTCACAGTTTGGGAGAGCAGGCACCTTCTTATCTTGATGACAGGTGCCTGCTCTCCCATCAACTGCCGGTGCCTGGAGGAGAATGCAAGTGGCGAGGGAGGCTCTTCTTGCAGCTCCTCACTCCTCCCTCGCGCGCCCTCTGTGATGCCGGGAGCCGTAAAACTATGACATTCCAGCCCCGGCATACTAAACGGCGGGAGGGAGGAGTGCGGAACCCACACTGGATCCCAGGGAGGTGAGTGTTTGTCTCTGTGTGTGTGTGTGTGTCTGTCAGTGAGTGACATGAAGGGGTGGAAAAATGGATCTTTGCCTATAGATTTTATATGGAGATCATGCTAGCAAAGGTTACTTCTACAAAAAACAATGTTTAACTAAAAAACTTTTGGGTTGAAGTAATTCTTTAACACAGGACTGTCACGGTTCCTAATTTCCTCACCACTGTAAAGTTTAGATGCTATTACTGGGGAAAGTGGTACAATGGGGTAAGTAGAATGAAGACTTTGATGTCCAATGGGATGTTATTGCACCATGATGGAGAAATGGCTTTGAGCGTGTGTGTGTTTGTACAGTAGTGACGTAAATGCACCTATGCCTACAGCATTGTACAGGTAAGTAATTTTTATTTACAATGTAAAACTGTTCAGATTTCTGTAGAAATAACATAACTTTCAGTTAATTTTTGGTTTGTCTGTTGTCAGTTTCTCTTCTAACAGAATTTACTCCTAGTAAGGGTTATATTAAAAGAACAAATCTACTATATTGATTAGACTCCTGGGATTTGGGTGCACTCACTGGCGGAACTACTGCAGATTCAGGGGTCGCAGCTGCGGCCGGCCTGTCATTCCAGGGGGCCTGGCTGCCCTGTAGATCCCTGTGACCGGGGTGCCCGCCAGCATTTTGGTGCGGCCCCGACAGAGCGGTAAAACCGCCGGAGCCACATTAAAGGAGCCCATCGAGTGGCCCAAGCTTTTGGGGCCACCCGATGGCAATGGATTTCCTGGGGCCCAGTCAGCACCGCAGCGTTTTAATAGTGTGACCGGGCTTCCGTGACTATGTTAGAGCGCTGCACAGGAGGAGAGGAGGAAGTCAGAGTGGGAGCTCTGACTTCCATCAGCGTGAGGCAGCCACTGGACACCAGGTAAGTCCCAAAGTTATTTTTTTTTTTTTCTTTTTTTTTTTTTTAACAGTTTGTGTGTGTGATGGAGAATGTGTGTATCTGTTTGTCTTTCTGCATGTATGGGGGGGTGGGGACGTATGGGGGGTGCCCTGGGGCAATTTTTGCACAGGGGCCCCGTGGTTTCTAGTTACACCTGTGGGTGCAATTACATCATTTTCTAACAACTGAACTCAAGATGAGTTAAACTAAACTCGCTCAAATTATCCCAAAATTAGAACCAAAACACTCAGGAATTCCGGAACTACTCCTGAAAACTGAGACCTTTTTCCCTGCTTGCAGCATAAATGGCTGGGGAGCACAGAGCTATAGATCTTTTTATTTTAAAGATCTCTCTATATTTATCGCTTCTATAAGTATATAGAATAAAGCCATCATTAAATACCATCTTAATTACTTTTTTTTTTTTTTTTATATTCTTTGCTACAAGTTTTTTTCATGTATTTAAACTTGCTGTTTAGTTAGTTTTGTTACAGCTTTAGAACAAGAACTATAACAAACAGATTTTTTTTTTTTTTTGTTAAAATATTGGTTGTTTTGGGTTTGTCTGGCTATCTCATTGGGATATCATCCCTGTTTCAAACCTTTTTTCTTTGTATATTTATTCAAACATTTTATTTTTTGGGGGGGCGGGCAGAAGGGGTTATACTCATACAAATATAGTGTTTTGTTTTCCATTCTTCTAGGTTAATGTTATCTATTCATGTAATATGTGTACATATTGCTCATCTAGTTTTCACCTGATTTAGCAACCCATCACCCGCATATCCAGTACTTGTGTAATTGTATATTGTCTGGGATTATTTTTTTTTTTTACTAAAGTTATATTTTAATGTGATTTTACATATTTTAGGTAAAGTAGTTTAACTTTTGATATTTTCACCTTTAAATTTTAAATTCACGTTTAATTCACCATTAATTCTCACTTTAGTGAATAAGTTGGTGGGAATTCTTCACATCTCTACACTGTTTTGTGAATAAAGTTCTGTGCACCAAGCAGCAAGGCCACAGTCCACAGCTTGACTCTAACTTGGGAAGAGAGAGCTCAAATAACTAACAAAATCGAGATCTGGTCTCCAGAACTGAGCATTCCATCTGCTTGACTGACAGCTGTGAGGGGCTGGCTTGGAGCTGCAGTGCAGTGAAATGCAAAAATAGTTCTCTAAATACAGAGTAAAGTAAGTTGTAATAAAACCCTATCACATTTTCAGACATTCCATACTTGATACAGGTTTTCACGGACACCACCATTTAATGGCAAGCTCCACCTACATATTAAATAAGTCTAGTTCTACTCCTCGCTCACTTGACTTGTCTGGAATGAAGACACTAGGTGATCAACACAACTTCAGCTTAATGAAGCAGTTTTTGTGTATAAATCTTGTCTCTGAACTTTTACTGCCATTTAGAAGTTTTATTATTATTATTATTATTTTTATTTTTTATTTTTCTGCGGCCCTAGGCAGTAGGCACTCATCCCCAGGCTGTGACTGACAGCCTGCATGGGGGAAAAAAAGTTTTTTTTACTTTCAATCAGATTTTACTTACTTTAAAAATATATATCTCCTTCTCTGTAAATTGAATATTTACACCTACAAGTGTGTATGTGTCATATAACTATAATATATATATATATATATATATATATATATATATATATATATATAAACAAAACCAAGAGATTCTGTATTTTGTGTATATATATATATATACTTGAACGCATATACCGGTGTTTACTTTAAATTTCTCGCTGTTACTATGTTTTAATTTTTATTGCATGGTTGGATTCTGCTCCTTGTAGACTAGTCCTTTCTAATGGGGCAAAGCTGGCATGGTTAAATGGCGGTAATGCAATTTGCATCGCTGGTGATAATGTGTTGGCATGGTTTGCGTATGTGCCAGCATCAAGTGTCTCGAATGCACGGTTGCAAATAAATTCTTATATGGGAATATATACCCTGCAAAGGCTTTGTGCACGCTGTTAAAGTGTGAGATAAGAAATTCTAAATTAAACAGAATGTGCATTAAAGGAAGTTTAAACATCAGATCTTTCTTTACAGATAGTGTGGGTCACAGCCAGGGGAGGTGTGGCTAGGGCTGGATAAACAGAAACAAAATTGATTTAACGCCTAGATGTTAGATAATTGAGCAGTGAGACTGCATTGTCATGTTTTACCCACCAAAACTACTTCATTAGGCTAAAGTTGTTTTGATGCCTATAGTATCTCTTTAATGACGAAAATTGTGCTATTCTTCGTAGGATTCTCTGGTGTCTCCAGTAATCTGTTAATGGGGAAATAATACAGGACTCTGAAATAGTGATCTCAAACTGGGAATAATTTCTTGTAATCTTGTTGTGAGTATAGATAAGATAGTATTACCATAATTTTGTCTGAGGGCCCCTTTTATCTGGATTGCAAGGTACCGCTTTGTATTGACAGACTGCATTGTACTGGCAGGAGTGATTATACATTGCGATTAATGTTTATTTTATTTGGAAAGGTTTGGGTCATTGTTACGTTGTTGGATTCCAATGTAAATAGCAGCTTTAAACTCTCGATATCTGAGTGAAATTATCCACGAATTAAACCACTTTGATTACACACAGGCTGAAAGCATTTCTCTAATTGTATGACCTCAGAAAGATATTCTCCAACAGACAGAGTTGATTGAAGGCTGAAGTACCAAAGCGATATAATAGTTGCGCAACTGGGATTATTTGCCTTTTTTTTTTTTTTCCTCTATTGGCCCTGGCTGTTTCCAGATTTTCAAATGACCATGAGTGACAAAAAATAAATAGATTCTTCACCAACTAATATTCTACCCACTGAGTTGTTCTAGTGCTCTGTTCCTTCCTGCAGATTTCAAAATACAGGACAGGTCCATGGGATGTACATTAGCAGGCAGTATATAAAAATTGCAGGACCATCCAAGCAATTCGGAAATATTGACAATATGCTCACAATTCTCATTATACATGCACATAAACTTGCCTCTCAATATACCCCGATTAGCAGGACACTTGTAAGACTCCAACAACTTTTTGTTTATCTGAAAACCAAGACGATGACTAAATGGAAAATGGATATAATCATTACTGAGGCATGCCTCCCAACTGTCCCGATTCAGCCTGGACAGTCCTGATGTTTGGGTTCTGTTCTGCTTTTGAGGACACAAGGGAACTGTCCCCAAACAAGCATAGCATGAGAGCCAGTGCTGTACCTAGGGTATGGCTGACATGGCACGTGACCCGTGGCGCCACTTGACAGGGACTCCACATCAGAGGCAGATGGAGCTCTGTTCGTGCCCCCCTTGAGCTGGCAGGGAGATCAAAAGATCTCCACGCATGCGCTTTAAGAATGATCCCTTCATGGTGGTCTGTGGTTCCTTGCGTTTGCCGGGGCTCTGTGAGGTCAGAGTGTAGGTGCAGGGATTTCCAGTCGTGCTTTGACTTCTTGATAGAGTGCCAGGGTGGAAGACCTGCGGCTGCACCAGCAGGGAATGTATCGGTGTTCCCCTTTCTTCCCCCTTCCCATACATTATCAACCTGTCACATTCACTGACACCCAACCTTGTTACTGTAACTCACCGTCTCAACTCTTTCACTCTGCCACACTAACCCCGTAACTCTTGCCTCCTCCCCCTGCTACACTCACACAAACTCACCCTATCTCACAACCTCACTCCCCCAAAACATTGTCACTGCCACACACGACACCATAGACACCACTCACAAAAGCCACAAACCCCCCCTCCCCCCCCCCCTTGTAAATAACTACAGCACAAGCACAGCAAAACAGACAGGCATTTACACACAAGGATACTCTGTACACATTTCTGACTGAGTGTGTCTGTGTATGTGCCCCCCACACACGGACATAATGCTAGACACATACATATTCAGCCCCCCAAACAGCCTCCTCCAAACACTCTCACACACAATATATAGGGCCCAATCCGGCACTCTACCTAGGGTCCTGTACAGTCGTATTCTATTATTGGACTTGGGCATTGTAGCTGGCACCCTGAGGTTTCCACCTACAGGAGGTGCAAACTTCCATAATGTCTTCCTTGCAATCAGGGACTCAGAACCCCCAACAGACCTCGGCAGAGATCACCAGGAGTTCTAATCCCTCCATGGGACCACCAGGGATTATAGCCCCCTCTTTCTTAAAGAAAGCCAAGCAGGAAGGAGCTTCACAGAGCACAACCACACACATTCTATATGCTGCCAGCACACAGATCCAAGGCCAGATTAACATAGGGGCTGATGGAGCTGCAGCTCCAGGCCCAGGCCCATGGAATAAGCCAATTTAAAAATAATAATAATAATATATTGTTTGGTTTTTTTTTAGCCACCTGACTGGTATTTTACCAGCACAACCTGTATTTGAGACTGCCTGGCTGTGCCAGTATTGCAGTAATACCGGCAATACAAATGCAGAAATTTTTCTCAGTATAAATGGAGATTACAATGCAATACCAGCACCGGCCAATAGGGGTCACTGTGTGTGGAGAGAGGCAGAAATAGGAAGTTACTCCCTGCGCCTCTCTACTCACTGACCCACGGGGGCGCAGCACAGATAGTTCAGACCGCAGCTCCCAGCCTGCAGACACAAACTACAGCTCAGGGAAGTGAGGGATGGCATAAAAGCTGAAAGATGGGGAGGCGAAAGGCAGCAGGGATACATGGGGATGCTGAGA